GGCCCCAGGTGGGCTGTGGGGACAGGGCAGGGTCTGACTGTGTCTGTACAGGCCCCGGGTGGGCGGTGGGGACAGGGCAGGGTCTGACTGTGCCCACGGACCCCAGGGTCAGGCCAGGTCACTCACCTTGTCAGGGTGGACGACCAGCACCGCCCGCCGGTAGTGCTTCTTCACCTGGCTGGGCGTCACCAGATCGGCCATGCCCACAGGCGTCCAGCGGGACTCTCCAGCCCATAGCACCGTGTGCAGTGTGGACAGCAGCGCCCGGATGTTCCGCTCCTTGCCTTCGATCCAGTCCAGGAGCTGGGGGGACATGCACGTATGGGTCCTGGGTGCCCACATGCCCTCGAGCTGGCACAGCTGCACCCAGGATAGGGTGGGGCCGCCGCCTCGAGGGGCAGCACTGAGGTCGGGGCCTGGGGTCTGTGCCGGACTCTGGGGTTTAGAGCCCTCGTCCCTCACACAGCCATCTACAGGTGCAGCAGCCCTGAGGGATGCAGGCACCTCCCCACAAGCCCATGGCTGCTGTGTGAGGCTCCTGCCACGTGAGGGTCCCTGGTAGGGCATACTCCCAGGAGTACCTGTCCTCACTATGTTGGGGAAACAGGGTCTGGACTCACGGCTGAGCCCCCCGAGGGCAGCCTAAGGCATGAAGCGTGCCAGACACAACTGCGGGAGGCCCCCCAGGCCCTCTTCCTGTTTAGGGCCGGGCTCCACACTTCCTGCTTGGAACCCTGCATGCACCATGGGGTGTAAAATCAGTCTGTCCTGTTGCTGAAGATGAGACTGTCTCCTCCCAAAATAGACGGCCACAGCGCTCAGTGGTCGGGCAGCTGTGCGACGATGGAACCCCGCACACCGTTACAGCACACGGACACCACAGCCCCGTTGGTGCAGGGGGAGCTGCTGGGAGGTGGCTGGGACAGCCTTTGTCTTACAAGAGACAAGAGTGAAGTGAGTAGGGAGGGGACCTGAGTGTCCCTCAGAAGTGGGGTGCACCCTTGGGACTCTGGCTCCACATGCAGGGAACCTTCTGGCCTCAGGGGACGGCCAGAGCCAAGGGACACAGAGAGATCTCAGCTGCGGGGGTAAGCCTTCACCTAGAGCCGGCGTCCTGAACCCACGCCCGGGCCTTCTGTGGGAGAGAACACAATTCTGCTGATTAGAGACGTGTGCTATTTCCAGGACAGCAGCACCAGGGACCGGACAGAATGTGGGACCAGGCGCTGCCTGAACAGAAACCTGAAATGTGGAGGCCGTTTTGGAATTGAGTCAAGACTCATCAGGGCCCCAAGGCCACACACGCTTCTCAGGCACGAACCCACCGGCGGCCCCGTGGGACAGAGGCGGGGAACCCACTCCTGTGCAATGCTCAGCCTCGGAAACAAGGGGTGAGGGACAGAAGTCCTCACGACCAGACAGACACCATGATAAATGGGGCAACGGACGTCCTCAGGGCCTGCACTCCACCTGTGCGAGCAGCAGTCGAGAAGCTGAAATCTGCTCTCAAGAGTTGCTTTCTTTAAAGGGCCGGAGAGCAAGGAGGTCACTTTGAAGACGAAGGTGCGCCTGGCCCAGGCCGTGTTATTTCCAATTGCTTCACATGTTTGCGGAAGTTAGACAATGGAGAGGGAGGAAGGGAGAACTGATGCCTTTGAAATGTGCTTTTGGGGAACAGTAGTGAATAAACTATGGATTGCCAAGATCGCAATCAGTTACGTGTCGGGAGCCGTGCAAGCAGAGTGCTCCCTGGACGCCGGGCGGGAGGGGGCTGGACTGACACGGTGACTGCGAGCGTGGACGTGAACATGCCGAGACGGTGAGCGTGGCGTGGGACTGGCCGCGGTTCCCACTGCTTCTCCCGGGCTCGCGGCTCCGGGAAACGGTTCTCCTGGGCTGTGAAGCTACTTCCTGGCCATTATCCCTTTTTTCTCTCCAGATTTTCTCATCTGGGCAGGAACATCTACCTGATATGATGTCTCCACTGCACCTGGAAGCAGGTGACCTGGACTGTACACAGGTCCATGGATTAAGAGGAGTTTTGCCCCAGGATGGAATGTGAACTTGGAGTTAAGATTCTTGGGATGATATGATGGGGTGAAGGTAACGGTGCGTGTGGCCAGGACACGTGCTAAGGGGCCAAAGGCAGAATGTCACTGATTTCACTGCAACCCCACTGATCCATGCCCACGTGGCCAGGCCAAGACTCTCAGCAGTTATATAATGATGTGATCACGCAGTCGTACAACCACCTCACCATGTGCCACGAAGGGGCTGGTCAATCAGCTGTAAGGGGATTAACTAGAATGAGACTCATCACCCTAAGTCAGGTCGCAGACTTGACCTGAGACCCCCAGGCGTGTGACCTGGGACCTGCATAACCATTTCTTTTACAAGAAGTAAAAAGAGACAGAAGTGCACAGAGCAAGAGGGACGGACTAGCACCAAGACAGAGAGCCGCACAGTCCCTCCTCTGGACCAGGGCCCCTGTGCTGGGAACCTCCCAGAACCAGGAGGGAGCAGTGCTCTGACTGTGGCCCTCTGGTCTCCTACGTGGAGACAGCATCAACTTGTCTGTTCAAGTCCTGTACTCGTGGCATTTCTGTCAAAGCAGCACCAGGTCAGACTGGCCTCCAGAAGGGGCACCACGCAGGACGGCACGGCCATCCCGTGCTGACCAAGCCCACTGCTCATGCTGGCCGAGCAGAGGTCCTCTGGGCAGAGATGCTGTGGAAGGTGTCATGGAGGTGGCCGGCCACTCCGGCTCCCGTGTGGACAGTGGCCAGCCTGCAGCCCCCACTAGGGGCTCCATGCCAGGCCCCCCTGAGCCCCAGGGTCCCACACTGCTTCCCGTGGTCAGTGAAGGTTGAGGGTTCCCAGGCCACAAGGGCCTCTTGGGGTGCCCACATCTGCCGTTCCCCATCCTCCCGACACCTCGTGCCAGCACCTAGTGTGCGCAGTGTTCCCGTGCTGGCAGAGGACAGACTGAGAACAGGGATCAAAGACACCCCGCCCATGAGGACCACATGTGTACCCCTGCTGCTTACTAGTGACCACAGATCCGACTAACTGGAAGAGGATGCTGGGAGGGACGGGGACGTGACAGGGTAACGGAGGGGAGAGGCGGGGCACTGGAGGGGAGGGCCAGGGTGCCAGGCACCAGATGAGGAGCGCATGGTACCTTCAGCTTGAGCGGGTCCGTGTCTTTCGCCATCTCCTGCTTCCGCATCTCAGCTATGGTCTTTGGTCCTTTCTTGTCGGATTTAGAGGAAAAACCCTCATTGGGTAGCAGGTCTTCGAAGTCATTTTCCGACACTTTTGGTTTTTGAGCTAGAAGAGAGTGAAGCCTGGGGTAGGAAGTGGCCACACGGGTGAACCTCCCTCCTCTGATGTCCCCTTTGACCCTGGGAGCGTGTGCACAGCTCCGCTATCTCCAGAGCTGAGAAGCAGCTTCTCCAACACCATCCCTGCCACAGGTCAGGTGGCGCACAGTGCCTGGACCTGATGGAGGCGTGGCCAGGACTCCCCACACCTATGCCCTACAGCCCCCTGGCACCTGAAGGCCCCTCCATTTGCTTTGTGACCCCCCAGAGTGGACAGCAGAGGGGAGCAGGTCTTTGACCAGCCTGGAGCCCAGACTCTGTGAGGCTTGGGCTGGCCCCTTCGGATGGAGGGGGCAAGGGCTGAGGGAGTCAGTGGGCAGAGCTCACCAGGAGACACCGAGAGTTACCTCAAAAGGGGACATGCCACCCTGCCCACAGGATCTGGACACACACCAGAAGGGGGGCAAGTGAGGCTTCCTCTGAGCATGCCTGTGTCCTGCCTCTCTGCTCCCCAACCACACCCGGCATGCACCCCTGGACAGTCTGAGTAGCAGAGCCCCTGTTGGGGGACCGGGTGGGAAGAGGGAGGCACCCAGGACCCATACATTTCAGTCACTGCTCCCCAACTACAAGTGACAAGAGGGCTTGGTCTGATCTCAACACTCTGGGAACCCACCTTTAACCAGCTTTAACTCGAGAAGGGGTGGGGCACACTCACCGAAGCTGGGTGCGCGGACGCCCCTCTCCTCTCGGCCCCCAATCACACTGAAGTTCGGGGTGTAGGTAGGCCGCGGTGATGGGCAGGCTTTGGCAGGGCCTGGTTTGGTCTGGGGAGACCAGGTGGCGCCCTGGGTGGGAGGCCGGCTCTGCCAGGCGCTGCCACCGGCCCTGGGAGGCGGGGCTGCCTTGGGAATGAAGCCACTAGGAGGGAATCCGCTGGTGGTGCCTGAGGGGACAGCGTGGGTGGGTCAGTGGAGGGAGAGTGAGAACATGACAGCTTAGCACTTTCAAAACATGGGCATCAGAAACGGAGTCACGGAATAAGCCTGTTACCCTCGTAGTGAGAGTCTCCCTGCTTCCCCAGCTGCAGGGAGCACAGCCAGCACGGGAATGTTCTGGACCCTGGTCAGACACGGTGGGGGCCAGCTGTCGTGATAAGTCCTCTCCCTGAGTTCACCCAAGGTGCTCACTGTTCAACAGGGGGCCGGAGGCCAGAGTCCGGCGCCGAGACGAGCCTGAGGGTCTTCTTCCGAGAGATCAGACTCGAGAGCCCACAGCCCACAGCCCTACCCTGCATGCCCGGGTGCCACGGGGCAGAGACACTGCCGACACACGGCAGCCTGGTACTTCCAACTGCTTCACTTACACAGGGTGACTACGGATGACTGAAGAAGGGACGTGTGTGCACTGTCTCACACGCTGGGCTGTGTTACCGGGCGGACCAGTCTTTGGAAAAGGATTTCAGGCTTAAGAAAAAAGTAGAGGATGAGAGAAAGAGAAGAAGCTCCTCACTGGGGTGAATTCTCGCCCCTGCACGGTGCCCAGCTCTCTGCCGGTGCCACACGCCTTCATTTCTGGGGCGACAAGACACTCTGATTTCCACCATGTGCTTATGTGAAACCTATACTTGGACCAAGAGGCGGTTGTCAGAACAGAGCAAGAAAACACTGCAGGGTTCAAAATCGGGAAGGGTGTACGCCAGGGATGTGTCCCTATTTTTATACCTTTTCAATCTATATGCAGAACAGATTATCCGGGAGGCTGGGCTCTACGAGAAGGAATGTGGCATCAGGATTGGAGGAAGTCTCATCAACAACCTGCGTTATGCAGATGACACAACGCTGCTTGCTGAAACTGAGGAGGACCTGAAGCGCTTGCTGCAGAAGATCAAGGGCTGCAGCCTTCAATATGGATTGAAGGTCAACATCAAGAGGACATTATGCTGAATGAAATAACTCAGTCACAAAAGGACAAATACCGTAGAAGACTGCTGTAAGGCAGTTTGTGAAAACTGTGGGGGGTTTGGGTGGGGTTGCAGGGAGAGTAGAAAAGCAATGGTAAAGGATCAGGGGAAAGTAGGACCAACCTGGGAAGAATGGACAAATGGCTACTAAGGGTGTTACAACAAGCGACCTGGAACAGGACACGCACAACTGTGCTCGCAGTGAGGAGGGGGTGGGGGAGAAGAGAAGACCAGGGCAGCAGAGATGGGTGGATGCGGTGAAGGGACGGGAAAGGCACAGTGAGGATCTGGTAAGACGCTGTGATGAAAGAAACCGATCAATTATAATTGATCAATTATAATTGATCAATTATAATTCATATTAGGAAACAAAAACGTGTACCAATGACCGAAAACCAAAAAACTAAAAAAAGAAGGATAAAAAGTTTGAACCCACCAGATGCTCCGCTGGAGAAGGAGGGGCAATCTCCTCCTGTGCCAGTCAGATCCGATTTGATGGTACACGGGGGGAGAAAAAGAAAGAAATATTATGCAAGTTCAAAATATAGAACGGTAGAGAAACTCTTGGAAAAACACAATGTACCAAACTTGACTCAAGAAATGCAAAGTCTAAACTGTGCTGGAACCACATCGGCCACTGAGCTTCTCTTCCTGAGGTCCTCTGAGACAGCACCTGGAAGCTGGGCCTGCTCCAGACCAGCTGGCTGAACAGTCACTCTAACTCGAGCTGTTAAAGACATTTAAAACGCTTCCTGCAAAGGGGAAGAAAGCCCTCAATCACGCTCCTCTGCCTTCCCAAGTGGGCTTTGCACAAGCCTGTCTGTAGCTACAAATAGGTCTCCCAGGAAGCTCTGGCAGGAATCGTGCTGCGGCCACACACCCGCAGGTCTGGCCCATCCTGGTTCTGAAGAACTGTCGTCCTTACTTAAGCGCCGGGTCTCCCCGTCCACAAGCGTGGGAAGTCTCGTCATTATACAGACCTGGTTTGATCTTTTGTGTTTTGTTTTATACTTTTCACCACGGAACTCTCTTGTGAGATTTACACTTGGGCTTCACTCTCTTTTAAACAACAGTCCACGGTGTGACTGAATTTCCAGTGTCTGGATGTGGTTGTTCAGTGCGGCATTATTCTGAACAGAGGACGGGTTCCTGCCCGTCCTGCCCCGTCCTGACCTCTCTGCCGAGCGTGCGTCTGCAGATGCGTCAGCGTCAAGTCATCTCTCTGCGGGGCTTCCTTTCCGCTCCAACCTTCTGGTCTTCCAAGCACAATGCCCTTTCCAGAGACTGGCCCCTCCGGACAGCATGGCCAAAGGCTGGGAGTCAGGCAGAAGGCATCAATGCCTCTTCAGTCTCCCTTATCACTGACCCACTTTCACATGAAGCTACTGAAAGTAGCGTGCCTCAGTCTTTAAACTGACGTCTTCGGCTTTCAGCAAGTTAAAGAGGTGCGTGGTAGCACACGTGCCCGATGCAACATGTCTTGGCCACCGCTGCCCAGGGTGTTGATTGTGGAGCCAAGTAAATGGAAATTTCTGATAAACTCTCGTCTCCTCTGTTATCATGATGCTGCCTATTGGTCCGGTTCTAAGGGTTTTTGCTTCCTTAATGGTGATGTGTAATTCTGAAGGCTCTGTCATCTGCATAACGCAGGTTGTTGACGGGTCTTCCTCCAATCCCAATGACACGTCCCTCCAATCCTGATGATGCATCCTCCAATTCCGACGATGTCCCTCCAATCCCGATGATGTCCCTCCAATCCCGATGACACGTCCCTCCAATCCCGATGATGTCCCTCCAATCCTGATGATGCATCCTCCAATTCCGACGACATCCCTCCAATTCCGACGATGTCCCCCCAATCCCAATGACGTCCCTCCAATCCCGATGACGTCCCTCCAATCCCGATGACACGTCCTCCAATCCTAATGACGTCCCTCCAATCCCGACGACGTGTTCCTCCTTTCATGGTTGTGACTACTGCGTCTTTTTATACACTGCTGTGGTTGTAGGTGCTGTCAAGAGGAGTACAACTCCTAGTTGCCCTGGAACAACAGATGTGACCCTGCCCTGCGTCCTCACCATCTCTGACACCCTCGCACCCACTGGGGCAGTCACTGCGTCAGTCCACCTGGCTGAGGTCTCCTCCTTTGCTGTCCTCCTACCTTTCCAAGCAAGATGTTCTCCAAGGAACAGCCTCTCCAAGTAACATGCCTAAAGTATGATTCGCCACCGTTGTCTCCAAGGAGCACGCCAGCTGCACCCTCTCCAAGACAGAACTGTTAGTTCTCCTGGCCGTCCATGGGATGTTCAGCACAAAGGCATCAATTCTGTCGTCCTTTTTCACTGTCCAGCTCTTAGCAGCCCAGCAGGGGATTGAGAAGACCTTTTATGTGCTGATGAGCTCTGTACGAGTGTTTTGTGGAGGATCTTTGTGTCTGTATTTATGAGTTACACTGACGGTCGTCTTTTTCTGGACCGTCTGCCTGAGGTTCCAGGTTAAGGGGGGGAAGTGTCTGGCAGAATTCTCAGTGAAGCCACGTAGCTCAGAAGGTCTGTAACTCACAGCTCATTACCTTTAGCTGCAGGCGCTGTTCTGACTCTGAGTTGCGCCCCATCCTTGGTGTCTCTGGGCTGAGGGATGTCTCTCTGCAGGCTCTCTATCCCACAGTCTGCAGCAGGCTGCAAGTCCCCGCACTGCGCAGTCCATGTGTCCACACAGCGTGGACACCAGCACAGGAGACTCACTGCGATTATGGGTGTAGCCCCACAACCACACGCACACGGGCAGTTGAGCCCATGTCCACCGCCTGCAGCTCCACTCACACGCTGACCTCGGGGCCTCTGGAGCTGTGATCCCAGCTGCCAGGGGCCAGGGCGGTGCCCGCCCGGGGCTTCTCCCAAAGGGAGGCTGGAGCAGACCTCGCAGGGCAGGGTCCAGCAAGAACCTGCTGAGGGTGTGACTGACGGAGCCCTGGTGGTGCCGTGGCCAAAGCACTTTCCTGCTTAGCAGACATGGGTGGTTTGAATCTACCAGTGGGGAGAAGACGAGGCCAATAGCGTCTGAGGGTCGGCCCAGAGAGCCCATGGTCAGCCCCACTCTGGTGGCCCAGGATGCCCGTGGGCAGCTCCACTCTGGTCGGCCCAAGGAACCTGTGGTCAGTTCCACTCTGGCAGCCCAGGACTCCGGTCGGCCTAGGATGCCGTGGGCAGCTCCACTGTCCTCTGCTGTCCCTGAGAGCTGGACTCAACGGCAGTGGGTCTGGCTTTTCTGAGTTACCAGTTAACAAACTGGACCAGGACAGAAGCATTCTTCAACCACAAAACACCGAGGTCAGCCAAACCAGCCCAGAACGAGAGATGAGGGCCCATCTCGGGCAGCTCACAGGCTGATGGGGGCAGGCACCCAGGACCGCATCGTGGTCCCCAAAACTCCCAAGAACAGAAATCCTCATGGCTCATAACACTGCCCACACCCCCCTCAGACAGTGAAGGCCCGCTACCTTGCAGGCCTGAGCCCAGGTCGCCGAGGTCAGCAAAGGGGTCCAGGCTCTGTGACTTGGTCTTGCTGGTCGAGGGGGCAGGCGGGGCCGCTGGCTGAGCTCCGGATGAGAAGAGGGGGCCTGAAAGGACAGACGGTGTGAGGACACATGTCCCCAAGCCCTGTGCCACTCATTTCCTGACCTCTCCCCATTGTCCACGGGCACCTGTGCCCAGGGCCAGTGGCCACTTCCTTCTGAACGAGATGGGTGCTTCTTCAGCTCATTTACAGTCTTTATTTCCGAGCAGGACAGTACGTGACCGTTCGGTGTGGGACCTCTGCTCCAAGCTAACACAACAACTCGTATCAGAACCAAGGACGTGCACGTGGTCCTGGCTCTGGGACACCAGCTCCCAAGGCCTATTTACCACGTGCGTCCTTCCCAGTCTCCTCGTAATCGTGTAAGACGATGACTGTTTTTATTGCTATCTGCCACTGAGTCAGAGCTGGGTCACACTGGACCCTCCGATGGGCTGTCAGAGGCGGTAAACAGCACAGGAGGAGTCCGTCCATTTCCCCGCAGAGGAGCTGGTGGATTTGAACCACGAACTTTTCAGCTGGCAGCCCAACCCCTAACCACTCAAGTCACCAGAGCTCCCTAGAAAACAACACAGTGAAACGTTCAAGGTCGTCACTGCACGGCCACACTATAAAAATCTCCTGCCGCCATTGGAGGCAAAGGCTGTCTCTGCAAATCAACAGGAAAATGAGCCTAGAATGTCAAGTAGCTCTCAAAGGGAAAACAATGCGGACCACTCAAAACCACACCAGCGTCCTCCGTGGGGCATGCAGGCGCGGAGGTGGGGGCGTGTGACCTCACCACCAGCTCTGGTGGGAACCCAGGGGCAACCCCTGTGCACAGGTCAGCAGGTCCGTAAGGACACACACCTGAAGTGAGGACAGGTGCCCTGGTGGCACAGTGGTCAAAATGCTCAACTGCCAGGCCCAGGGTCAGCAGTTCGAACCCAGCAGCCTCTCTGTGGGAGAAAGCTGAGGCGATCGGCTTCCCCGAGATCACAGCCTCGGGGTCCTGCAGGGCAGTCTTATGCACAAGCCTGACAGGCACACGGAGTCACCAATGGAGTCACTGCTGGTCACAGATGATGTGACCAATGGCAGAGGGTCTGGCTTCTCCCCATGGAAAGGGGAGCAGGCCCCCGAGGCTTGGTAAGTAATGTATGTGCTGACCCCTCAATGCACTACCAGAAATTCCTCCACCAGATCCATGCCCATCCTGAGAGGATGCAGACACGGGCATGGTACAGGCGCATGGGGGACCCTCACAATGGGAGACCCCGGGTGTGACCTGACCACTGACAGCTGGGACAGTGACACGGGCGTGGTACAGGCGCACGGGGGACCCTCACGATGGGAGACCCCGGGTGTGACCCGAACACTGACAGCTGGGACAGTGACACGGGCGTGGTACAGGCGCACGGGGGACCCTCACGATGGGAGACCCCGGCTGCCACCTGAACACTCGCAGCTGGGACAGTGACGCAAGCATGGCAGAGGCACCCGGCACAGGCCGACGAGGGACCCCGGCAGGCTCTAAAACGGGGGCCTCAGGAATGGGCAGTAATCACAAAATGCTCACACCGCATCGGCATGAAGAATGCATCAGGCACACGACCACAGCTGTAGGGGACGCTGAGCACGCGGGCCTGGACACACTGCCTGCCCCTCGGGGTTGCGCCTCTTAGCTACCCATGGCGGAAGGGCCCCCCACGCACAAATGCTCAGCCCTTCTCCAGCCGGTGTGGGGGTGGGCCCATCGAGTGCGGCCCTGCAGGCCTGCCACAAAGGACGAAAACCAGGTGACTCCCACACAGTCCCCTGCAGACTCTATGGGGTCTGGGGTCCCCTACCTTCTGCAGCAGGCTTAGGGGTCGGTGTGGATGCTGCAGCCTCGGCCCAGGTGTCCCACCCTCCGAGGAGGTCCGGCTGGCTGGAGGAGGCCGCCACCCTGCTGGGCTCTCCTGGGAGGTCTCCTGGGAAGAAAGGAGCAGAAGAGGGTAGCAGACTTTACCATCTGTCGGCCCCGAGGGCAGGCCCCTCACGTGCTCACACATGGCCCACGTGGCACACTGGGGCAGGGGGTGCCTGGTGAGGCCCCCTCTCTGCAGCTGTCCTTCAGGACCTGGCAGGGGGAAGCATGGGTGGCGAGACAGTCCCTCAAGGGCAGGGCTGGTTCCTCTGTCGTGTGGATGGGCAGTGGGCTTGGGCCAGCCGCCTTCAGGCTAGGTCTGGGCCTGCTAAGGGTGAGGTGGTGGGCACTGAGCCCTCAGCTGCCAGGTGACTGGCCCCAGTCAGAGCCCTGTCACCTTTCAGGACTGACAGTGACATGTGCTGGCTGACCATACTGCTGGACAGGAGAAATGCTGTCTGTATGTCAGGCGTCTGAGAAAGCCTCAGGTACACTGAAATCGCCAGTCCTCACATGCCTTTGGGCACCTCCAGACACCTCCTCCTGGCCCTCTCAGAACCTTCCAGCGGCCAGGGTGGGGAGGGTGCTGATGGCCACGGCTGCTCCAGGACACCGTAGACCTGGGGCCCTCTTGGTGGCCACAGAGTCCCACAGTGATGACAGCAGCACACACAGTGTCTGTCTGCCTGCCACCCTCCCCGTCACCAGTGCTGGCATGGCTCCGGGGCCCCATTCCACACTTGGCACCCACACAATCACCAGGGCTTTCCTACTGCTCTCTGTCAGTGTTTGCCCCTGGACTCCTCTGTCCCCATTGTCTACTACCCCACAGCAGCACCCCAGCACCGTGTGGAGCCCTGAGGTTCAGCCTGGACTCCTGTCTCCACTGTCCACCACTTAATGACACCCCAGCCCTGTGTGGAACCCTGAGGTTTCATCCTGGACTCCTGTCTCCACTGTCCACCACTTAATGACACCCCAGTCCTGTGTGGAGCCCTGAAGTTCAGCCTGGACTCCTCTGTCCCCACTGTCTACCACCTAGTGACACCCTGGCCCCATGTAGAACCCTGGAGTTCAGAGGGCTGCACCTGTGGGGTGGGCTCAGAGACACCTGCTGAGAGGCCTGCAAGTACCAGGACCAAGGAGAGAGCTGAGGGGCTGCACGAGGGCAGCTCAGGCAACCCCCCACGCTGTGTCGAGGTGTCACTGACCTCCCTCCACGTTCCATGTCCAGGTGTCACTGACCACACTGTCTCTCCCCGAGGGCATCACCATCTCGCCAGTCAGTGCCCAGCCTGCATACATGTCACTGATCCCCCCACCGTGCACATCCAGGCTGCATGGACATCACCAGTGGCGAACATTGTAACCAACTTGCACCCAGTGATGTCCAGACCGCGTGGCCATTGCTGACCCTTCCCGCTGTGTCCAGGATGGGGGCGTAAGCAGTGACCTGGCAGCCAGCACGCCCACCAATGCCCCAGGGCAGGGGGCAGAGCTGGCCCTGAGGGTGGGGCTGGGACCCCCACTCCACACCTTTCTTCATCACCCAGCCTCAGGGGCAGCACTCCCGCTCTGCTCACGTGACGGACACCTGCCGTCTCCTGCTGCAAGAGGCGCAGAGCTGCTTGGAGGCAGGAAGCTGGCCACTGCCCTCTGCCCCCAGACCCAGCGGGCACCCAGTGAGCGAGACCAGGAACAGGTCCTGGTCTCCCCGAGGCAGGAACGCGCAGCGTCCCCACGCACCGCAGCCCCCCGTGCCCGGCAGGTGTGCCGTGGGCAGAGCTTACCCAGCTGCAGGAAGTCGGTGCTGGAGGAGGAGGGCGGGGCACCGTGGGCGGAGGGGAAGGCGCTGGGTGGTGTGACTGAGGGGTCCGGATGCAGAAACTCCCCAAAGAAGTCGGGCTTGGAGCAGGTTTGGGTGTCTGGGTCAGCAACTATCAGGAAAGGGTCGAGCGGGTCAGCTGGGAAGAGAGGCGAAGGGGTGCATTCGTCAGGGGCAGTGCTGAGGGGCCGAGGTCACCGCTGACAAGCCCTGGCCACAGAGCCCCCAGGAGCTCCCTGGTTGGGAGAAATCTGCTCGTGGGAAGGTCTGAGAGGTGACCATGACCATGGCTATCGGCAACCTACCCTGGTAACCAGCGGGCACCCTCCAGGAGTTCTGTGGGCCATTCCAGCCAATGATCAAAGCCGGAGGGGCAGGCCGACACTGGTGCCAGAGGTCAGGGTGCCGAGTGACCTCCCGGCTGGCAGCCACAGGGCAGTCTGATGGTCAGAGGTCAGGGTGCCGAGCAGTCTCCCGGCTGGCAGCCACAGGGCAGTCTGAGGGTCAGAGGTCAGGGTGCCGAGTGACCTCCTGGCTAGCAGCCACGGGGCAGTCTGAGGGTCAGAGGTCAGGGTGCCAAGGGGCAGTCTGAGGGTCGGAGGTCAGGGTGCCGAGTGACCTCCCGGCTGGCAGCCAGTCGACATTCTCAAGGTCTGAGCTAGGCTTCCGGCTGTCAGTCTTCACACTGCACAGCTCTGGCCCCCACAGCCCGGATCACGCTCTCGGGGAGGGGTTGTCTCACTTCCTCTGTGCCCATCCTGCCCGCTCAGTCTGCAAAACACCTCTCCTAGGAGGGCCAGAACGGTCAGGGCACCACAGCCCGCAGGGCACCATGTCGGAGCCGGTGGGGGGCCCTCCTTGTCGTGGGGGAGGGGATGAGTGTACATGCCAGCAGCTGGTGGCAGCTCTCATGGGGGGATGCATGTACAAGCGGGGTACCCTTGTGAGGGTACGAGTGGGGGGCCCTTGTGGAGGGGGTTCTCATACTGGCTAGGAGCCCTCTGGGAGATTCACATACCAGCGGGGGGCCCTCGCTGAGGGGGGTGAACATCTAGCCCAGGCCCCTCGTGGGGGGCAGTACATGCACTAGGAAGTAGGGGGGCCTTTGTGGGGTGAGGGGAGAGGTTCCAGCTGGGAGGCCTTAGTGGGGAGGGGAGTGCATGGACCAGTGACCGGGACACTTGTGGTGGGAAGAGCACCTCCCAGCCGGGGGAGGGTCCTAGGATGAGGGGTGCATGCATCAGCTGAGGGGTCCCCGTAGGGTGTGTATGTGCACATACCAGCTGGGGAGGTCTGGGGGCCCCCATGGTGGGGTGCAGATACCAGCTGGGGGCCCTAGTGAGGCTGCGTGTTCACATACCACTAGCTGGGAGCCCTCATGGGGAGGTGCATGCACCAGCTGAGAGGAGGCTCTTGTGAGGAGTGTGTGTTCAGATGCTGGCAGCTGAGGGGAGCCCCTTGTTGGGGTGGTCCCTCATAGGGAGTGGGGGGAATGTACACACTGGTGACTGGGAGGGATCAGGGTTGGGGATGCACTTATTGGCTTTGGGGGGGGGTCCTTACTGGGGGGTAGAGGTTCACATACAAAGGGGTCATCATGGAAGGTAGGGGTGCATGTGGGGAAGGGGGACCCTCAAGGGGGTAGGGGTGCACGTACTAGCTGGGGGGCCCTCGTG